AGCGTGCTGTCTTGGAGGTGTGTGTACTGCAGGAGTGAGGCAACAGATGAGGGGAGAGGGGTAAACTGAGACCATGGAATGGTGGAACAGAAAAACAAGGCTGGAAACCCATCTTCCAGAAATGAAGACGGAGCCTACAAGAATTTCTGGTACCATCAAAAGCATGAGGTTCTGAAATAACCTCCCAAGAGGTACAGTGAGGGGAAAGCCAATTCATTTTCAAAAGGAGCTGCATTTTCAAGAGTTAGTGAATGAGATGACAATAATGTCATTACTGAGATGACAATAAGCACAAGTCTTAGGAGGAGCGGCTGAGGGAACTGGGCCTGTTTAGCCTGGAGGAAAGGAAGGTCAGGGGAGACCTTATCGCGCTCTACAACTACCTGAAAGGAGGTTGCAGAGAGGTGGGAGTTGACCTGTTCTGTCAAGTAACAGGTGATAGAACAAAAGGAAATGGCTTCAAGTTGTGCCAAGGGAAGTTTGGATTGGATATTAGGAAGAATTTCTTTACTGAGAGGGTCATCAGGCATTGGAACGCGTTACCCAGGGCAGTGGTGGATGCCCCATCCCGGGAGGGATGTAAGGGTGGGTGAGAAATAGCACTTAGGGACATGGTTTAGTGGTGGACTTGTCAGTGTTGTGTTAATGATTGGACTAGATGATCTTACAGGTCTTTTCCCATCTAGGAGATTCTGTGATTCTGTAACGCGCCTGACTTGAGTTAGCCAGAAACTAGGAATAGCAACCAGAAAACCCCTTCAGCCTTTATGTTTTTACTGACTTAGTTAAAGCTGCTGTAGTCCCTTTTTTCATTGCACAGAACAGACTGCACAAATTTAGGTGAGCTCAGTGCTCCAACCTAATTTTCATCAGTTGTTTATTTTAAGGCTCTTCTAGTTTTATCTCTGAGATCTCACAAGTGGAGATGTTTAGTTTGGGCCACCATTTGATTAGGAGATTTAGAATGGCCAGTAATTTGGTCAGAACAGATTGATGGCTGAAAATGACACCTTGAGGAGGTATTAAACTAAGATCCAAGAGCGATGGCTAAGCAGCGCTGAGGATCTATTATTTAAGAGACACGACACTGAAGTTAATATATTCTGTTTGTTGTGTTTGCAGTTGGATGTGTAGTTCCATTTCATTTCATACCCTAAGTTATTAGAAGTGTTTCAGTGTCCTTGTGTCTCAGTTATATACTTCAGCTGGATCAAGAACGATGGTGTGAGTCTGCAATAACTGTATGAAAACAACTTTGAAATTTTAGAAGAAAAAAGGAATCCAAACATCCCCTTTAAATGTTTGTAGTAGTAGTGACCAGGTAGTTCATTCTTCAGCTTTGGATTATGATTTAATTCCAATGTTACAAAACATTTGTGTCCTGTAGAACAGTCTCTTAACTTGTTTATCTGAATTGTGTAACTTGCATCTTCTCAGAGTGCTGCAACGTACGTAGAGGTGATTTGGAGCAGAAAGTTGAATTTGTTGTGTGAACCAGTTCTTATCGCTAACATTTTTATATGCATAAGGAAGAAAAATATTGTCATTTGGAAAAGAATTCAAAATACTGAAAGATTGCTAGGGATTTTTTTGGCTTTGTACAGATCGCATACTTCATACTGAAATAAAAGCATGAGTGTCTAATCTGTGCTTGTGCTGCATGGATTTCAGCAACTTGGAAAGATTCTTCTTGATATTCAACTTGCATGAATGCAGTTGGCTGAATAAGATGTCAAGCAGTAGAAAGGCTTCTAATGTGTTCACTACACTTAGGCATACAGGAGAGCATTCAAACCATTTTGCAATTTACTGTTGGAGCTGGTCGATGTTTCTGGTATATCGCTGGATGTTCTTATATTACTTGATTACCAAGATGGGTATGGGGAGTGGGACAGAAAACTTTGAGTAGTGTTTGGTATGCAAAACAATACCTAGTGCAGCTGATTTTGAAGTCGCAGTGCTGCAAATACAGGGGGGAAAAAAAGTAGTTTAGGTATTTTCTATGATGTGACTTTCCCTTATTTGTTTTAATCCTTGGCTTTTAAATTTTTTTTTAGCTTGTGTTTGCTCCTTCAGTCCTGGGATGTCTGCTTTTTTAATACCTCTGAATCATGTGTTCTTTTATTTTGTCACTGTTTATCCAAATTTTTGCAAGGCACGCAGCAAGGATTTCATCAACACCACCTGATACAGTTTGCTGTGCTTACTTTAGCCTGGTGGCCTTGAGTAAAATCCTGTCCCTATTCAGTGCTGATGAACATTACTATTTCTTCTTGCTGTGTGGATTTTTGCTTCATATTTCCTCCTTCAGACTATTAATGCATATTTAATAGGAACAAGATTAGTCTTAAAACCAAAGCCTGTGGTGATGTACATCAGATCAAAGCTCTGAAACAGTCAGTGGATGAATATGATTTTTTTTCCTAATTAAAACAATTAGTTTTCCATGCTGCTTTGCAATGAAAATTTAATGTGCAAGCTCTTGGATCAATTTAATTTCATTACGTCAACATATTTACCATGCTAGAGTAGAAGTTGAGTCAGTATTTCCATTATAAGATCCTATTTTACAACTGTAAAATTAGTATTGTACTCTTGAGGGGGTTATAATCGGGCTGTAAAACTTCATTTAGGGCAGAAACTTGGCATGTAAGGTTTCAACAGCATATATCTTGGGGAAAAAGGAAAATGTAATTTTGGAATACAATGCATTTGTAGATGGATTAGAGTTATGAGGGCAGGGAAAAATATTAACTTAAATACACACTTTGATTTGTAACTCAATTTCCAGCATTTAAAACAAAACACAACAAAACCAAAACCAAAAAAAAAAGCCTCCCAAACAAACAGCACAGAAAATGCTTTTCTTATGTCACTGATGCTTCATATAGACCAACTCAGAAGGAATGGGTGGGGTGGTGGTGGGAAAAGGAAGACAAATACTTCATAGTTGTACATGAACTTTTCTTCAGTTATACTTCAGTCAGCTCAAAAGCACCCATCTCTTTTCACATTTTTAGTTAATGTATATATTTGAACATGGTGTTAAGATTGTAATGCAGAATAGTTGATAAACCTTTTCAATGACAAGGATTTGTAAATCTTAAAAAAAAAAAGAGGCATAAACCACTACCTTCTCTCATATCTTTTATGTAAGAAGGTATTAGAGGGCATCGCTTTCCCCATAATTGTATTTCCTTTTCTATAGCAGTTTTTTTGAATAGAAACTTGTAATTAGAGTTTAGGTTGTAGGGGTTTTTTTGGTGGGTTTTTTGGTTTTTTTGTTTGTTTGTTTGTTTGTTTGTTTTTAGCTGACCCTCTTAGGTAGGTAAGAAGATACTCATCCTTTTGGTTCCTCATCAGGCCCAGAGTTTAAGGTGGTATTTCACTAACCATTTCAGGAATACAGGCAAAGATATTGAACTCACCTTACTAATTCTTAAAATACTTTTGTAGGATAGGAAAAAGTTTCAGAAATAAGCCGCGTTTTAAAAACTTGTATTAAAAATTAAATGCTTATACTTGGATGTTTTGAATATCAGTAACTTGCAAAAAACTGTAACATCGCCACCTCCAGCAGCTAGAGCTGTGCCTTTGTCGTGTGTTTGACGGACAGGCAACGATGTTGCTTAGGAGGTGGACAGTTTGAGTATGGGTGGCTTGCTTCGCACGTTTATGAGGTACAGCTCAGGTTGGAACTTACATCCACAGGATTTCCCTCATCTTTTAGTAGGAATGAACAATTTTTAAAAGTGCCAGACAGCCACACTTTTTCTGAAGCACTTGTTGCGATCTTTTATTTCCCCAAACCCAGGTTCTCCATCCCTTCACCCTCTTAACAAACATCTTCCCTCTATTAATCTGCCCTTTCCTTCTCTCCTCCCGTAGAGAAGCTGCCCTGGGCATTGCCTGCATTTCTGCAGGTGCTGAGTAGTATGCATTACAGCAGGCAGGTGATCTAGGAGCAACCACAGGACGAAGTGGGGATGGCCTGTGTATGTTATTGTCTGGGACTGGCATCCCCCGTGTCCTGGGCAGCTGAAGCCCATATGGTCAGAAGAAAATGTGAACAGCCAGCAATTGAGGTGTGCTTCAACTGCTTGAGACCTTCATGTGGTTTCACGTGCCCTGATTTGGTTAGCCTTCTTCAAAGTCACAGATAAAACTGTCTCAAATTTCCAAATTCAGAAACAGCTTCTTACATAGGTGAATTACAATTGCTCTCAGATGCCAAATATGTCCTTCTGCTTTAAACAAATCCATTCTTTCCTTCAGCTCATGCAAATAATGACTTATTGAGCCTTGTTATGCTACATCGCCGTGGTGGTAATCTTTACTTCAGTGTTTTGAAACCCGAACTCAACAGATGTTTCCTGCATGTGTGCATTAAATTATCTGTTCCTGCTCTTGATGTATTATATGAATTAATGATTCGTTAGACTATGTTTTCAGGATCTTTACTGCATTGAAACTTTTCAGTTTCTCTTGCTATTTATACCAGTATCATTCTCTAGAATACTTCACGTCTGACCCCAGTCATAGTGCATGGTTACAGGATATAGATACTCTTTCTACACAACAGCCCTGTAATACCCCTAGCAAACATCTCCTGCCCATAAAGAAAAAGAGCAATTCAGAACCATTGGCAGCCTCCCCCTAAGGAAAGTGTATGACGTGGGCAGGCAGCCTATATCCCGGTAACTTCATATGATCTAAAGTTGCCTCAGCCATGAAGACTTAAATTAATGGCTTTACTTTACCAGATTTTAAACATGTATTTTATTGTATTTCAATTTCCTGTACCTTTTTCAATCTATTATAGATGGGGAAGCAAACCTGGAGAGGAGAGTTACCTTCATTAGTGTCACACAGGCTGTCATTGGGAGAGTTAGGAATGCAACTAATGTTTCTTTAAAATAAATAAAAAAGGAAGAAAGAACAACAACCCAAAACTGCCACATTAATACTTGCTGTAATGCTTTATGTTTTTCTCTTTACAGGTGACTGTTACAACTATTGGCTATGGGGATAAAGTGCCTCAGACCTGGATAGGAAAGACCATTGCGTCTTGTTTTTCAGTGTTCGCAATTTCATTTTTTGCACTACCTGCGGTAGGTTATCTTGTGCTTTTGCTGGCAATTTGGTGTTGACTCATTAGCTGTCAGAGAAAACTTTTGTAATTGATTCTTTAACCTTTCCTTTAATCTGATGTTACAAAAGTTTTGTATTCAACTTTTATATTGCAGTTAAAAATATATATAGCTTGTGGAAGGAAAAGAGCTTCTATAAGTAGCTAAAAAAAGTAAATATGCAGTGTTTATTATATGCAACACTAGAATGGGTACGTATTTGAGAAAGAGATGTTTAATTCCAAATACTTTTTCTGCCCGTCTCAGAAGTGTAAGGGAAATTATTTCTCATGTTAATCATTTCTGAAGTCAGGGACTTAGTGATGCTTTGGCTTTTTAAGGCATTCACTCATCGTTTACTCAACTGATTAGGTCCAGACTGAACTGCAGAGTTCTCATACACATCCTTCGTCTAGTAAAGTTGTAAAAAAGGTGTCACTGGCAGAGAGACAACAATAAGCAACCAGGGACACTGATGCAGCTCTTTGCCAACTTAGCATCTGTCCTACAAAAGTGACCTACAGCTGAGCTTTTAAAGGTGTTATGGGACTTTGTTTGCACTGAAAACGGGTTCCCAAGTACTTTCTGACAAGAAACGAGGCGCTTGAGTAGCAAAGGTAAATTCAAGATCAGTGAAACCTGGGCTGTGATTTGAAAACCCAAAATGTTCAGTGCGAAGGGTAGTTAAGGGTATATTTTTACAAATGTAGCAATACTCCTGAATTGTGTTGTTAAAATGTTTGTGCAACCTGAAATGTGCTGTTAAAATGTTTAATTTTCCGCGAGTTTTTCAGCTCAGTGACACAAACAGTTGTGTTAGCCAATGTTAGCGTAGTAGTGGTGGGGATAAGTGCAGAATGGATAAGAGTACTTTTATGCCAGTACCGTCACAAAAATTCTTCACAACATGAAATAGTAACTATTAAAACTCCAGTAGCTTTTTAACTTAGTTGCTTACTTTAAAGGTACACAACCTTTTGCAGAGGAGGGTAGTTAAATGTAGATTTTTAGACTCTCCAGCATCAGTTTGCCTTTAAAGCATAGTTTTCCCCCCTCTCATTGTAATCTCTTTCCCATTTATCATTTGTTTAGAAAAGAGGTCCGGTATAATGAAATGATCTGTAAGAAAAATGCTAAAAGCTACTATTTTGGCTGAAGAGTTGTCGTTTTTTTTCCCCTCAGACTTGAATGGTAGCAAAGCTGTTTTATAAATAATTGTGTAGTAGCCCCACCTTCACAGCAATGCTTTTATGTTTACCTGTCAGGTTTCCCTAGTCATTTGTAGAAGTGAAATAACAACAAACACCCCTTTATCAGTGGGTTTTTATTACTGAATTAAGTTGTTCTTGTGAGTTGGCCCAAGGGGGCAATTTAGGATTTGAAGCTCTAGCAGTAAATGGTTGGTAATAGTAACTATTGCAGCCTTGTTGCTGTTTTAAATAAGGAGAGCTGTCTGAGAATCAGAGTCAGAAGTGATTGTTGGGGCTAAACACAACTGGTGTGGGTTCTGGATCTAGCAATGATCCTTCATTTCCCAGATAAGTGATGTTTGAGCATCATTAACTCTTTGATCTTTGCTAAATGAGCATAATAGAAAGGGCCTTTCCTGTTCCTTTCAAAACACTTGATGATTAATACAGTTCTTAGAGGTTGAGCCAAGATCACTGGCTGCTCTGACACCTTGACTGCCATATGTAGAAAATGAATTACGCTTTTGTTGAGTAGGTCTAGTCATGTAAGGTGATTTGTAGAAGATCTTGGTTTTATCTTTGTTGCTAAAACTACTGTTAAATATGTTTATAGCTATGCAAATGACTACATAAATGACTCACTCTATACTTAATTTTGGACTTAAGAGTTGTACTATGTTTGGAGGCTATTTCAGGTTGTATAATATCCAGCGCCATTAGTCTATGTCCCTTGTCCTGAAAGTGGATTTGTTGGCCTTGTGTTGAACTCACTGAAGTCCTGACTGTTTTGTAATATTCCTTTTCCTCTTCTTTGTCCTCCCCTCCCAGAAGGGGTTAACATATGGAAATAGAAATTACATACTGCAGTTAGAAGGGCTTTCTTGTGACCTGAATCATGCCATGCCAAAGCTTTATTTCTCATAAAAATGAAGTTAAGCACATCAAGTTAATATTTCTCCCTATTCTGTCATTCCCCTGCACAATCATTTATGAGGCTTTTAGAGGGTATGAAATACCATTTCTGCTCACTCTTTAGTGTTTGAGTCCAGCTGACTTAAGTAGGCTTTGGATCAGGGCATTCTTAGTTTGTTTCAACAACTATTATTGAGTCTAAAACTTAACAATATTAAGTCATTTCCTCTAAATAATTAGCTGGGGTTTATGATGCTGAATAGAAGTTTATTAATACAACATAATTTGGCGAGCTTATGTGTGGTTTCTTTACCCCCTTAAAAAAAAATAATAAATTAGATCTGTGTTTTTTCCTTTCCTACAGGGAATTCTCGGTTCAGGCTTTGCCCTAAAGGTACAACAGAAACAAAGACAGAAGCATTTCAACCGTCAAATTCCAGCTGCTGCCTCTCTCATACAGGTACTGAGTTCCTGCATTTTGCATATTATAATTTCTTTCCATTTATAGATTTTATTTTTTTTTAAACTGTTGGCACTGTTTCCATGCCTGATTCCCATTAAAAATTGTATAGAAGTCACAGATGCAAGTCTTCTAAACAGTTTTGGAAATCCCACCTTTAATGTAAACTAATGAGCAGAAGAGTTCATTTCCAAATCAGTGCAAACTGTTTAACTCAGCTGGTTAAAATAAAAACTGAAGGCTATCCTGTAGTTATTGAACAGTTTACCTGGGGAAAGTGTTATGAAATAGTATGCTGGCAGTCGTGAAAAACAGAGAGGAAGCTTCGTGGAAAATTGTACCTTGGAAAAATACGTTGTTGCTTGTAAAGACAAATGTCAGATATGCTTCATTTTCCTTGGGACAAACACATTCTTAAAAATCTCGAATTTAGGATAATTGAGTCGGAATGTTAAATAGGAAAATCTTACCTGAACCTTTCACCTCCAAGATAGGTGGTTGGGAACGACTTGGATTCTGCAAAATCAGACTTTTCATGTAGGATAATGTACAGGGAGAAAAATTTTGATCCCCTCTTAAAAATATAGTTGCAGTTCAGTGTCAATAAGGTCAATGAGATTTAATCCTTTACTTCAGTGGAGTCAGCATTTCACCCTGGAGAGAAGTATTAATATTGTTTCATTCTAGGTTTTTCCAAACTTTTCCTCCCTCCCTCAATATCTGCATGTAATTTTAGAAGCACAAGGATGGAATTTAAAAGAAATCTAGATGTACACCTAAGCCGTATCATTTTTGCGTTCTCATATGACTTATTTCTCTAGCTTCATGAGCGAATGTGGATTTCCAGGTCAGGCTCTTTATGGAAACAGTAGCTAACTGTAAAGTTTATGCTTGAAACTAAACAGTCCCAGAGTTAATGTGAAAAAGGTTTAAATTTAGGGCTCTGCTCCTAGCCAGAGATTAGCCAAAAATCTTCAGACTCGGTGTGTTTCATTCATGGTCAGAAAAAGGTATGGTTTTGAAAAGAATGAATTTTTAGTGTTCCCACCGATTCTTATGGGAAATCAACCCCAAATTATCGGGAAGCCTGTGATTGCATGTTCACAGTGTTTGTACTTGGCTCCGTCTGAAATGTTAAGGAGGAGTGGAGGGCAGACAATGAGTTGCTGACTACCTGTTATTAATAGTGATAATTGTGATTTACTAATAGTCTTGGAATTTAAAGGCCCAATTTAATAAGTGCGCTACAAATAACTTGCAAAAGATTATTCTTAAACCAAGAAGTTTATGAAATAAGTACAAGATGACGACAGCTGAAATGAGTGATACTTTTTTCCTGTATTCCTTCTTGTTTTCTTCTAGAGGCCAGTTGTTTCTTCCAGTATCCTATTAACCATGATGAGAACTATACAGTGATTGCCTGATCCATTAGTTTCCAACTGCTGTCTGTTTTGCTCTGTCATGGTGCCTTGCTTTGTTTCTTTCATCTTGTGTTTTCTGGCTTTTTCCACTTTAGATTTTGTGTATATGTATATGCGTGTGCCCTTTTTTTTTCCCCATGTACTACATAAGTGAGGCTCTGCTGTTTTAATTTGGAGAGTAATTATTAATCAACTCTGATGATATATTTACATATTTAAGAGAGTATGCAGTAGTGTTTTGTCTCTGGTTGGTTTTGTTTCCCAGCCCTGCTTTTCTTTCTTTTTGTCTTAGAACATAGTACTTTAATCATTGGTGGTTGTCAGGAGGGAGGATTGGTTTGGGGTTTCGGCTCCTGCTTAACCATTGGTGCTGTTCCCTCATTCTCTTGGGCTTATTTCTTCATATGAATATGGCCCTACTGACTACATCACAAGTGCTTTTTTTTCTGGTAGTACTCTTGTGAGGTAAGGAAGAACAATTTTTGGTTTTTTGAGTAGGAGCCTGAAACACAAGTTGCAATAGGCAAAATGCTCAAAGTCAGAGAGGGAAACTGGGGCAGAGCAAGAAATTCAACCCAGTCTTTTGAGTCCGGTCTAGAGTTCTCTCTTATTATTTGTTTGTTGCTAATGCGTAAAAAGGTTGCACTTGAAAAAAACTGATCTTCCTTTCTGGTTTTTCTAGTTAAAACTAGGTGGTTTTTGTTTACTAAATAAGGATTCTAAATCATGCTGAGTTTATGTTTCCAGGGGGGAAAAACAAGAATATTATTAAATAGAGAATGACTGAGGTGCTACTTGGAAATTACTTTGTAGTACAGATAGCTACAAATCTGATTCCATTAATTGTTCTGTTGCTTAAAACATTTGTTCTAGACTGCATGGAGATGCTATGCAGCAGAAAATCCAGACTCTTCTACATGGAAAATATACATTCGAAAACCTGCCAGAAATTATCATTTGCTGTCACCCAGTCCAAAACCGAAGAAATCAGTGATGGTACCAGTAATTAACATTTCCTAATTTTATTACTCTCTAGAGGCTATGTGTTGTGTTTCTTTTACATGTTGTTACTTGGTTTCAGAGTTTCATTTTCAATTCAGTTTGGGATTTTCAGTGTGCAAACATTTTAAACTATAACTTAATTCGCTTCTGTTCCCAAGCTTGACTTTTTTAATGGATCTATGGATTTGGAAAAAAGCAATAATGACCTAACTCAGACACATCAATCAGTAACTTACTGTTGTTTGGAAAACTAAAAGCAAAGGAGAAAAAGAAAATGACTGTTTCCAAACCAGTAACTTTTAATTGGTTTTTAAAAACAACAACAAAGCTGCTGCTTCTCTCAGCGATTGATTTTGTGGCTTTCTAAACCTCTATGGTGAAAGCATTTTGTGTCTACATACAGGATTATTTTCATATCAACTAATTCCATAAGTTAAGATATTTAATTTTTTTTGTTTAAAAAACCAGCATCAAAGCCCTTTGTCAAAATCTTTATATTACATAATACTTCATCGTCTCTATAGTAAGAGTATTGCACAGTAGTTGCAGGAGAGGATGTTGTGCGAAAAATCTTCCCTAGTATCCCAGGTTCATCTGAGTTCAGTAGTAATATATCCATTTTTGCTGAAGGCATGATTTATTGCATCCATAAAATGGTAAAGATATTCTCTAATAGTTTGCTTTAAATAAACTGTTGCGGAGCTAGCAAATTTTTTTACTGCAGGCAAGCGATGTGCTAATGACAATGTGCAGAATTCTAGTGATTAGCCAGTTGTGGCGGGATGGGGGGCAATCTTACTGAGAAATGGATAGTTGGAGCATCATGAAAATGTAATTGGTGAGGCACTCTTTTGACTGGTTATAGCTCATTGGGGACTGCATCATTATCGAAGACATTACTGAAGAGACAACTACGTGTTGCTTGGTTTGAGTAATTTAATGGATGTATGTTTTTAGGTTAAAAAGAAGAAATTTAAGTTAGACAAGGACAATGGGCCTTCTTCTCCAGACAGGATGTTAACTGTTCCACATATCACTTATGACCACGTGGCGGAGGACAGGAAACCCGATTTCAGTTTTGAAACGTATGAAAATTCTGGTAAGAAATTCCATTATAAAATGCCAGTAACTATAATGGCTTCTATTAGTGATTTACACACAGGTCCTCCATAGTATCTGTAGGAGAGAGAATGAGGACAGAACAAGCTCTTGTCATTCTAAAGCAAGAACACTGTGCTTTTTGACTTTGGTTGCCAGCTTGTCTGGATGAAATTCAACCATTCCTTTAATGAGCATGCTCCACTGCAGATAAACTAGGATTCTTTGTCATTTCTGCCTGCCAGAAGAGCTACTGTCTCTGAGGCTGGTGCATACATTCCCCAATTTTGCAATTGATTGAAACTACAGGGATTAGCTGTCAGCATTTCCATGTGAAATTTACCAAAGATATGTTACTACTGTGCTGTACCTCAACCAAAAAGGATTGACACATCTTGGCTGCACTGAACACAGTCTGCTACATGAAACCATGATGTGCTCCTGCCATCTGCTCAGTGGAGTAGGCTGTGAATCAAATTTTGAAAGCAGAAGTACTTAAGATAAATGTGGATCCATCTATATTAACTGTCACTGTACAAAATGGTACAGTATGAGGAAAAAGAAGAGAGGACTTTGATAGTCACCTTATAATTAATAGCTTGGTTATAGTTGCTTTAGCTGTAATGAACTTGCAAAATAACTCTGAATTTACAATGTGGCGTTTTTGCAAATGTACTTTTATTGGAATTTTTTAATGTGTATTGCTCAAATTTTGGCAGCAAGAATGAGGTTTAATTTTTACAGTGTGTTTTATTGATTATAGATACCTTAAGTACTTATGTTTTTACTCCTCAAAAATTTGGCTGACCTGATTAAAATTGATGACCTTTAAAATAAGATAGCAATGTGGGCTGGCACCAGGCATATTATAATTCATGCAGAAAGTCTCATCTTCCATGTACTTTTTTGGTACACTTCTGTCTTGTCTTGTTCTGTAACATCCATGCTTTTCTACTCTTTCTTGGCCTCTGCTAAGGAATGATTGCGAATTGCATCTGATGGTAGAAATTAAATAGCTGTTAAAAGGTGGACGAGTACTAAGTTTAGTTTGTGTCTCAGGCTTTGAGTACAGATATGTTTCTTCAAAACAATCCAATGAATGAAGCGTACAAATGCTTTGATTTGTAAAGTCCCACCTTTTATCACCAAGTTTCTAAGTTGATTAAAGAACAATATGATTTGCAGGCACTTCTGCCACTTCAAAAATCAGCTCTGTAGCTTTCAATAAAAGGTTTTTCTCTCATTTCTTCTGACACTTTTCTTTTTTCTTTTTCATCTGTGTTCTGCTCTCTCTAAACTGTTACAAGTATACAGGACAAAAAGGAATGTTAAAATTGCTTGGTAAGTTGAGGCAAATAATTCTATCTATGGCATGCCAGCTTATGACAATGTAATGTTTGCAGTGCTTTTCATGTGTGTCTAGTACCTTATCGTTTCTAAGAAATCTTTTGCAGCCGAGGAGATCTAGACAGACAAAAATGTCCATTCTCACACTTGTAATGACAATTGCACCCCCAGTTTCATTACAAAGAGAAAAGTGAACACTCATTTATGTAAATAGATGATTTCTTTTTTCAATATAATTAAGAAAAATTGCTCATGTATACACAACCAACAGAAAAAGATAATCTACATATAAATAAAGTATAAGTTGTCTGAACGTACAGCTGAGAATTAATTTCTAAACAAAAAGATTGGGATGGAAGGAAAATTTCCGGATTTGACCTCCAGTATTGTGCATTCTGAAGTACGTGCATCTGTTCCTGTAAAAAATGCTCTGTAGATATTTGTGAACAGATGGGGACTCATAAATTAAATAATTTATTTTACTGTTTGCCTGGATTCTGTGATCACTTAAGCAGCCATGTAGTCCTGTGATGTTCCTAATGTGCTTGCTTAGGCACTTTCTTAACAACTGAGCGTTCCCCAAAGACTCTAGGGTTAGTGCTAGGTCTGGGCAAAAAAACCTCTGTGATTTAGTGAGAGTGCTGTGAGCCACCTGTAAGTTGTCTGCTCTGTATCCACTAAAGACAATGGAGGCTTCTTTTCAGTAATTGAGCGCAAGGATGCTCAGGCTTGGATTAAATTGCCTGAAGATACAAAGTTCAGTTTCTCCTCTGAACACACATGGAACACAGGTGCAATTAAGGTGGTAAAACAGCAGAAAAGAAATGGAATCTCCTTGACACTCCCCGTGACCAGTCCTCGATTTGCCCATTTTCTGGTTTCGGCTTTTCTCCTGTGTTCCAAGCAGTGCACCTCTGTTCAGGGTGATTGTGGTGGAACAAGCTCAGGAGAGCAGCAAGAACTGTGAAATCACCTGTTTTACATGAACAAGAAATTCCTTCATCTTGGGGAAATATCAGAGCACCGTTGTCAGCTACCATAGGTTCAGGTTCTATTTCCTAGCCACGCAGCATGAGCTCAGTGAACCTGAGAGGTTACCTAACACTGTTCTCACAGTGACTCAAAGAAATAAGAGGGAAGAGTGTATTTGTACTTACTGTGAATGAGATTACCTACACAAAGAACTGAAGCTGCCAACTGAAAAGCTCAGAAACAAGAAATTAGGAAGTACAAGAAGAAAGGATGCTCCTTCGGCTTTAATTTGGTCCTCAGAAAGCTTCTGGTCACATATCCATACGCTGCTTTCTCATATTCAGTAAATTCTGCTTCTCTCTTTGGGCTGCCCACTTATATTCAAGTATTCACACTCCTGGATCCCCCCTGTGGCTTCCCTGCCAATATCCTTGTGCAGCCGGAGATTTCCACCTACTTTTCTCCCCTCCTCCTTTCTCCTGGCAGCATCAGTTCAGCAAAGGCCCAAGAGCCGTGGCTGGAGCATGCCTAGGGCCGACAGAAGGCTTGCAAAATGAGGGGGGTTTCCCCATTTTTTTAACACCAATACATTTATATTTTGAGAGTTTTTTCTCTTTGCGTGAAAGTAAGGCAACAATTCTGAAAAATATCACTGTGTCCCAGTGTGTGAGTCCACAGGCATTTCTTAACGAAATAATGCTATTCAAAAGAACTAAACATAGCAAAACCGGTATGTTTTGCTGAGTCTCTTTCTCATCATTGACTCCTCTTGCTTGCCTGAAACTTTTCCCCAAGAAATTCAGCTTGAGGCGGGCACTTGGCTTAAATGGTTGAAGTCGGCAGCTTCAAATGCTTTTTATGGGGTATGCGAGGCCGCTTCAAACATGGGTGGCAGTACTAATCTGTCCACCTGACAGCACTGAAATTTGACCAGGAGCTAGGCTACACCGTGAATGGTATGAACCAGAGCAAGAGGGGTCTGACCCGTATGAGGTTGTAGAAAGGGAAACACTTGAGGAAACCCTGAAGTCAGGATGGAACGGGCAAATATATAGATTACTTTCCTCAAAATGGGACAGGCATGTAGGGAGGAATATCTTGCAGCAGGTGACGCTGTCATGAAGAATGGGTTTGAAGAGACACAATGCCTCCCCTAGTGGTGGTTTAACATCCTGCTAACATGTAATACACATTAAAAGAGTTTCATACAAATTCTTTTCCACAGTATTTTTTGTTTTTAAAGGTGTTAGGTATGACATACTGTATTTTAGGTATGTCTGCATCTCCTCAGCTGCCTGTCTGGACTTTTTTTCCTTTTTTTTTCCCCCCCCCCCACACCCCTTCTCCTATCTCTCTTTGTTTTATGTGCATCTTTACTCTGACTCAGATTGTCAGCGCTCCTGGCCATCCTTTTCCACAGACCAGCAGTCTTCCAGCGCTCCTTCCTCTCCAGGTAAAGCTCATAATATTTCATTGCTCCATCACCTTTGTTAATAACTAAATCTTTGCAATGCTCTGTCTGGAGTTGCCTACTGTGGCACAGAAAATTATAGTGCTGGCTTTTAAAAAAATCATAGGCAAGTCAGTAGAATTTTGAGTTTGGAAAGGTTTTCAGATTGTAAATTGCGAATATTTAAATAAAAAAAAGGAGAATTTTCCTGCAGAACAGAGGTATTTTTTAAATGCATTCGTTAAACCTCAGATTTTCCATGAAAAAATACTTTAAAGTGTTTTAAACTTTTTGTCCGTGCTTGCAAAAGAGGAAGGGTAAAATATTTTCTGTCTTGCTAGCCACTACCAGGAAAGCATCTGCATACATGTCATGTTGTATATAAAATTGTTGTGTTGGTACTATAGAAAACCCATCAGTAATTTCTTGTTATTGTGATTATAATCCTTGATGGAAAGTTCATAGAATCACACAACGGTTTGGGTTGGAAGGGACCTTTAAAGATCATCTAATACAACCCCCCTACAATGAGCTTGGAGACCCCTCAATTATTGTAAATATCCCTTGCTACATCTGTTCCCTGTTTCTTTTCACTCATTATTCTCCATTGAAAATGAGTTTTTAAGGCTTCCTTTTTTATTTCCCTTTAGCCTACTTAGTTAGAAATTTAGTCTCTTTTTTATGATACTTTTTTTTTTTTTAACACTGCTTTGTGAGAAAGACTCCTCCAAAGTCAAATGGCTATGATTTTATTTTTATAAATAAAAAAATATGCTGTGGTAGCAAATGCTCCCTGGTGCTCTGCTTGAGCCTTGTTTCAAGGCACTTTGTGGCAGAGAAGCTCTCATTAATACCACGTTCTTTCCTTGGTCCCGCCTCTCACTCTGTGCAAGCGGGTTCCTCCTTTATGTTGGAAGCAGAAACATACATTTAAGAATGACAGCGTAAAGAGCAGAGGGCTGCACTGTTCACCAGAAGAGACTGATCTTGGTAATGATCTTAGAAATTTTAAAATAAGAAGAGGGAGGGAGATAACATAAATGCCTCATATTAAGTAGCTCTTCATCTCTGTATTCTCAGATAGCAGCACTTCCAAATAGGCTGAGGTACAGTCTTGGCTTCTTGTTCCTTTTACGTTGTGCCACTCCTATCCCCTCCCATGAAACTGAAAAGTAGTAACTGCGAATGATCCAAGAATAACTTTTTCTGCAAATCCACTTGTGTACTCTGTTGTGTTGTATCTCTCATAAGCACAGCTTAGTGAGTGTTCAGCAAACACTTCACATG